TTGTGTATTCACCTGCTGGTTGCTGGATTTCTGCTGCTTTCCCCCCCTCAAAATTTTCCTTTAATTTATGGAATATCTCTCGTATTTCAAGTAATTAAAAAAAGAAAATGAAAAATGCAGTTTTAAAAGAAATTTTCTCCAGATTAACCTTTATCATAAAATCATTATATAAACTTAGAGAAGTCAATTAATTAACCTCTGTGAGTTCCAGGTTTAGTGAGATGAGTTATTTCATTTTTTCTAACTGGTTGTCTTGGCCTAATGTAGACAGTGTCAGACACAGCAGGGGCTCAAAAAGTATATTTTGAAAAACTACATCAACAATTGTACTTTGTCTGAAAACAAACAAAAAAAGACAGAAGGGATGAAACAGGAATACATTCAAAGTATACTATATTAAATGAGCCTGGATTTTCTGAAAAATATTGAAGTGATACATTTTTTAAAAGATTCTAATTGTTTATTCTTAGAGAGAGGAGAAGGGAAGGAGGAAGAGAAGAGAGGAACATCGATGTGCGAGAGAAACGTCGATTGGCTGCCTCCCTCACATGTCCTGACCAGGGACTGAACCCGCAGCCCAGTCAGGTGCCATACACCAGAATCAAACCAGCGACCCTTTGCTTTTGAGGGATGACACCTAACCCACTGAGCCCCATGGGCGAGGGCAGTGATTCATTTTTATAATGTCATTGAGCTCATATATGAATCAATACAATAAACAAGAGAGTTACTACAAAACCAGAACAGGTACACTGTTACTTACATTCTCTCACAAATTTCTAGGTAATAGGGCATTGGGCATATAGAAAATGCTATAGGAATGTCTTACTGTTGTTATTACAGTACTTACCAAATTATAAATCCACTTGGATGGAACCTAATCTCATGTTCCCCTAACTTTCTCGATGCTGTTACTCAATATGAAACCATCACTGTGGCCAGCAGGCAAAAAGGAAAAAAAGGTGGGCACCTGGCTGATATTTGCAATTTCTTTTCTGTGGTTGTTCACCTCAGTTTACAGAGGCAAAAACACCAGGCCTTCAGGACACTGACTACAAAGGCCTCAGGAAGAAGGGAGAGGCAGGCTAGCCCGTAGGCACCGAACGAAAAGGACTCTGTCTGTCTTGCTTTCATCACTCTCTGCTGACACTCAGGGAAGGTGTCCCGGGGGTTTGGGGAGACAAAGAGGGAGTGCGTCCTTTACAGAGAATTTAAACACTAATTAAACCAACTCAGTGGGCCTGTTTTTTGTTATCACCGTGGGCTGGCAATGCTTCACAGTGTCAGTGATGCCACTCTCTTAAAGTCTAAGGCGGACAGGCCTCGCCCACCGCCCAGCCCCACCCCCTGGACACCATTCCACAGACACTGTCCCCAGAACCTCAGACAAAGCCTGGCACATAACAGGCACGACTTACAGAGAAAGGTGCTAATGTGAGAAATGAGACTATAGAACTCCTTCTCCCCTACAATTCCTTTGTCTTTTCCTATTGTTTGTTTGTTTTTTAACATGAAAACCATAACATACAGCTTCCATAGTACTTTGTAGATCTCTGGCCCTTATTTAAATCCTAAGCAAAATTTTAGATTTCATGCTCCAGGGGAAAAAATGTCCCTTCCCTGAGAATAGGGCTGGCCAATGGGATATGTGGGGAGCTCTGAAAGGCCTGAGATGATGGCCCCTAACAAGAGAAGCTGGAAGAGTTGAGGCTTCTTTCTGCAACGTGATGCATGAGGTATAGGGTGGTGACCAGATCGACTCTTTGACCCCCAAAGCACAAAAGACTCTGTATAACAGAGCTTCTATATCAGGGTAACTTCCTAGCATCAAGAAGGGCTGAGCCCTGTAAATAGGTTCCAGAAGTCTTAATTAGCAAGAGGACGGGGAAGGGTGTTGTGCTCTGAGTTCGATCCTCAGGGACTACTACGTACTTTCTGGGGCATTAGTGCCCCCTGTGCACTGCTTATGTGGTAGAGGAAGGGGACTCACACAGATCAAAGTCAAAGGGGAACTTCAAGGGTAATGGTGTGTCAAAGAGGGTTGACTGATTGTAACAAATGGACCACTCTCGGGGGGGATGTCACTAGTGGGGGAAAACCTCTGTACTTTCTGCTCCATTTTGCTGTGAACCTAAATTGCTCTAAAATATAGTCTCAAAAAAAAAAAAGCCAGTTGGGGAAAGAGGCAAAGCTGTTGCCACAGCATCAAGAGTTCACTCCATTTGCATGGTGGTTTAAGACCTACAGAGTGGTGTTTTTCTCTCTTATGATCCTGTGAAACTGCATGAACAGGTGTGTTATTTCCATTTTCCATGATGAGGAACCTGAAGCTCAGAGAATAAAGTGACTTGTCCTTGTATGAGGAACAAATGGCCATCAAGCCAGGTCTTAAAACTACTGTTCTGACTCTAAGCCCAATGACTGATGCACCCTCCACCTGTGCGTCTCAGGGTTCACACGCTTTTAGAGAAAAGAACAATCTTATTTCTGTCCTCAGTTAAACATTGGAACTCAGGAAGGCCTGAGATGACAAACCCTAGCGAGGGAAGGCTGAGTCTTCTTTGCACACATGGCGGTGCATTCTGGGCTGGGTGGTGGCCAAACCCAGTGACCATTTCCCCAACTGTCAATGTAATTAAGACAGTAGTAGGAGAAAGAAATGCAAGTGAAATCACAACAGAAAGGAAAAACCACCCACATTATAAAATGATCCAAACGATTCTATACTATAAAGGTATGTCCTTTGAAAAACTCCATACAAGTAAAAGAACTATTCAGAAATTATCAATATGAATGGGTCTATGCTTATAGTGGAGAGAAATTGAAAGTCTCCAGATCATTCCTAGAAGATGAAACAAATTCCTGATTTCTCAGGACTGGTGAGATTCAAAAAGACTGGGGGAACCAGTTGGAAAAATAACGCCCCTGCCGGCAACATCTATGTGCCTGGGCCTGAGGACCCAGCCTCACTGGCCCAAAAGACAGTGAGTTTGTGTATCTCAATTTAAATTTATTAAGAATAATAACCAACACTTACTGAGAATGTATTTTATGCCAGGCTTTGTTCTAAATGTTTTGCACTTCTCTTAGTTTTTACTGAACAAAAATTAAATTTGTTTTGCAATATTGTAATGTCCTTTGAAGTAACCAGCAAGTGCCCATGGTACCAGACTTGAGGCTGCCACTCTGGTTCTCCAGCCTGGTGCCAGCTTCACAGAGGAGGAGTGAGGCACAGGCCTGACAGTCACCCTGCAAATTAAAGCCAGGCCATTGTGGACCGAGGAATGTACACAATCCCTCTAAAAACAATAATTTAGCATGAAGCAGCTCTCCAAATAAATTAAGGCGCCTTTTTATGCCTTATAGGCAGAAATGAGCTAGAGTTTATATCTAAGACCAACCTCTTAATATTTCAAAAATACAATTTCTAAGGAGCTTTCCCCATCATATAATTCTCTAATGCTATGCTTCTGCAATGTCACCAATAATTTCAGAAAACGAGAGGCACCTTGGAAACCACCGACATTCACATCTTCGACAGCACCCACCAGAGACACAGGAACAAGGCATTTGTAGGGTTTTGGAGGTGACCTGAGCCCTATCCTGGACACACACAGCAGCTCATTTCTAGGTTAGATAAAAGTGCAGGGAAAATATGCCTTCATAATATCCTTTGTGATATTCCCCTTAGCAATTTTTTTCTTTTATCTGCTTGTGAACAGATAAAAGAATGAGATTTTATCTCATTCAAATAAGTTAGAATCTTTTCTGAACTAGCAATACATGTTAACAGGCAAATACCTGGTGAGGTAACAATATCTGCTGTCTGCAATGAACTGCAGACTCCTGCCTCAGAGCAGAGGTTTGATCGTGGGGGGTTGTTGTGGGGACGCCTACAGAATGGTGACTTCTTAGGTGAGGTTTAGGGGAAGAGGCAGAATAAGGATGCAACATAAAGACAAACACGTGACTGCTCCAGTCACTGATCTGTCCCTGCAACGCTCTGGCCTCAGAGACCCCCAGTGATCAGAGACCCCACGCGGGAAGCGCTGAAGATTATCAGCGCCAGGCCGTGGGTGAACATGAAGGGGGAGGAGGTGGGCGGTGTTTATCCTGCTCTGAAAGTTCATTCTGTTTATTCCGACAGAAATGTAGTATCTTAGTCAGGAGCTCAGTCAAGTTCTCTGCCCGCTGGTCATCTCTAGCCACCTGGTCAAAGGGTCAAGGCTTCTGAATCACCGCCATTCTCTGCGGAGCGAGTCCCTGGCCCACTGGATAATCACTCCTACCTCCCGCGAGGATCCCACATCTTTTTTTAAAAATATATTTTATTAATTATGCCATTACAGTTGTCCCATTCTCCCCCTTACCTCCCACATCTCGATGAAACAATTCTCCATCAAAAACACCCAAACACGGTAATTTCTATCCTTACAAAATGTAATTGAAATGGGATTGTAAAGTGCTACAAGGCACCCAAGCCCTGATGCACTAAAATTTTCTATCAAGCAGAGCCACCTAGTGGTAGAATGGGATGTGTTTTAAATTTCTCACTTGTCTCCTTTCACAATCCCATCCCCGTAGGTTTCCTCCTTCCCTCCCTCCCTTTTCTATATATTCATTACTCATTCTTACTTACAGCTACCCTCTTTGAGACCATCACCTCCATGTATTTTCCTTACTGAAAGTCTACTCATCCGACATAAACAAACCAACAGTTCGTCATGATCAGAAAGTTTTATGACGCAAACAGGAGCCGAGTGAACAGTCTGTGTCTCTTTGAAAGGGCAAGAAAATGTCAATACTAAATTATTTCTAAAAATAAAGAGTAACTATTTACTCTGCACCTTTCTAGTTTCCATAACTCACCCTTCCTTTTTTCCACACCCGTAAAATGTCACGTCAAACGTACAAGCACGGAGGTGAGCGAAAGTGCTCTACTGTGGTCTCCGATCCCCTCCTCCCATACACAGAGAATGTATAGGAGAAATCAGAAGTACCTTGGGCTGTGGTTTGATTCCTTTTCTTCTTTCAAAGTAGGTAAACATTCACTGTCGGCTAGGATAGAATAAGAGCAAACACGTGGTGAGTCCCTGAAATTCTATTTTCTGTCCACTAGACTCAGACAGGCGAACATCCCATCCTCCCACCCCCACCCCCACCCCAGTCTGCGTGGCTCCGCGTGCAAACCTGGCCTCCCCAGGGAGACCCAGAGGTTCAGAGGTGAGTGGAGGCAAGGCTCTGGATGCGGAAGAGGCACAGGCAGGAGACTTCAGTGTGCTTCTGGCCCTGGTGCAAAGGGCCCTTTCGTCGAGGTTTGGTCATTCAGGCCCCGAAGGGCCCCTCTGCAGCTCCAAAAGCCTGAATCTGGACCAACACTGGACTGAAGTGGCTTCACCTGCGGTCCTGTTGGGCCAGCAGGATGGCTTCCATTGGGATGCAGGATCAAACAGAAGCGGGTGGAGTGGGGAGCAGCTACCCTCAGAGAAGTCAGAGTTCTCCCCACTCACACCAAGGCTATTTTTAGGGGACATAAAGAGCCACTGGATCTGCCACCTACGTGTCAAAATAACTCTGCTTCAGTGCCAACAGAAAAAGGTTCCCCACTTTAAGATTTAATGAAGGTAACGGGATCACGATTTTGTATTAAAACGACCTCAGGAACAAAAGGAAATACACCAAGATTTTAAGAGAGGTCACCTTTGGGTTGGGGACTTCTTTTCTTCCTACTTTTTGTTTGAATTTTACTAATTCCAGCCTAATGCTACTGTGTACGTACGTCACTTTTCTGAACGAATACAACAAAACTAACGTACTTGAAGGTTTCTCTCAGTGACCCGCTCTCCGCTCACGCACTGCCCAGGGCGGCCCCCCCCACCCCCACCCCACACACGCCCTCAGTGCTCGGAATTGCGCACACTGGTCGAATGGTGACGATCTTTTGGGAAACTCGTCCTGACAGGCCTCTGCTGCAATAGTTCTGATAACAAGTCTTTGGACTAGAGAAGCGCCATTGCGGACTGCTGACTCTGACAGAGCCACAGGGTATTTTTTAAGGTAAATGTTAAAAACACAAATGATGTGACAGTATAAATAGTGGATGTTATTAAATTAATCCGTTTATTTAAAATAATTTTTTGATTTTGAAAGACATTTGAAAAAGGAAAAAACATCTGTCACTACTTGTAAGTCCAACTACGAATTGAATAAAAGGTGAGAGTCACGTGCTACAGTTACTGCCAGGTAGCAGTTGGAAATTAAGCTGCTTGGGACATTTTTGCTACTGGCCAGGTCAGCGCTGCCGGACTGATCTCTCCACGTGGTGGAGACGGCCTACGTTTGCACGGGCATTGCAGCAGCCACTACCCACCAGTGGCCACTGAGCATGCAAAATGTGCCTAAAGTGACTGAGAAAAGACCTATTTTAAATTTTACTTTTAAAATTTTAATTTGAAGAGCCACAAATGGCCATGGGCAGCACCCATCTACGTCAATTATAGCTGATAAAGTGTGTAACCGCACACAGGTGAAAGTCATAGATCTCTAAATATAAAGTGATGCCAGGTGCTAACTTTTTCCAGCATTCGGCATCAGCGCAATAATGGAACTGACTATTTAAAATGGTCAGACCCAAGTGTGTCATCTGCAGGTGCCAGACCCAGTATGGACTGGGCCCCACTGTCCCACTCCAGGGTTTAGGGGGCTTTTATGAAGCTGTCACAGTCTCTTGCTGCAGAGGACAGAAAAACCAAGGGAACCACATACCATTTCTGTTCATGTTGCTCATCCATTTATCAAGCTCTTCCACTTCTATTTCCATAACGGAGGGTGTGTCTTCCTCAAAAATTGGGCTAGAAAGACAGCAAAAAGCTCGTTGAAAGAAAAAAAAAATGTGTGGTGTGCTGAATTTCTGTGGGGGCACCTAAAATGTTGACTGTGAGGAAGATGAACTCGATTCAGGGTCTCACACTAGACTCGGCATGTGCTCTATTCGAGTGCACCAAACTCTAACAGGAAGAAAAGAGAACAAACAACCTTCACCCATCACTGATCCGCGCAGCCCAGGGCGTGGGCTGAAAGGGAAGCCAGGAGCTTCTGCCCGCTGAAGGCACACAGTCGGGCACACAGGGCTTCCACCGCAGCGGGGCTGCTCCGGGGAGTTGCCACACGTAGCAACTTCACCTTGCTTAATTTCACTTCCCTTTCTTTGGGGTTTTTGAGCAGTGACCCCAAGTCGAGAAGCCACAGTCAACAGACTCCTTGCATCACCTCCCCCTTCAATTCCCGCACTTGGCTGTCTCGGAGAAAGGCAGCATTGCTTTGACAGACCCACTGCCCCTGCTTGCCAGGGTTTGGAGGGTTAGAGGGCCCAGTTAGGGGAAAGGCGTCCCCAGTTAGTGGTGGTGGGGCTGGAGAGGAGGATCGCCAGCTCCAAAGAGCTGTGAAGGTGTTACACCCTGCAGAGGAAGTGAGCAAAGTGCCTGAGTAAGGCTGCTGGGGGTGGGGGGAGCGGGCAGGAAGAGGAGGTGGGCATCGCTCTAGAACACTCATCCGGTTGAATCATCTGTTTCCCTCCCTCTCCCCCTCCCTTCTCTTGGACCTTTCTTCCTCTCCTCTCTATCCCTCTTCTACCAAGGCTCATGTCCCTTAATACCAGCCGAAGTATCTTCCCTGCTGATAAAAGTTTTAATCCAAACAAATGAACTGATGTCTTTGAAAAACACCCAGAGTCAGAATATTTAACTACTACGCATTTGGAATTGGCAGCAGCGGTCAGAAAAAGATTCTTTTCCAAACACCAGACCCAGTCCTCAGCCTGGCTCCCCTTCTGGATTGAGGTTTGAGGACAGGGACATCCTTCCCAGGGCTGTGGCCCACTGGGGGCTGTCTCCTGGGGCCCAGGAAGCAAGGGGTCCCCGCCAGGAACAAAAGTTCTTGAAGAGGCAGATGCCCCTCTAATCTGCTCCTCTCCCTTACATCCTCATTCCCACTGAACTGCATTGGAGGGAGTGGGGGGACTTACAGTTTCAAGCTGTTGCTTCCCAGTTCATCTAAAAGAGAATAAATAAAAAGGTCATTTAGCTTTGTTTGTCTGTAACAACTCTTTAGTTCAACGACAGCTGACATCTGCTTTACAAAGAGAACACAATGGCATTCAGCACATTGCGTTTTTGAAGAAGCGACAGTTGACCTCTAAGTCGAACGTGTGCCGACCGCCCTATTAAAATGTGGCCCCGATCCCTGTGAGACTGGCTTTCTTCTAGGTAAGCTGGTGCTCTGAGAGCGCCCACTTCCGATCGGATGTTCGTCCCTCCTCGCTTGTTTTCTCCACACGAAGAGAAAAGCAGTGTGGAGGGGGAGAAGAAAAGGGTCTCATAAGGGTCTCATGGCTTGCTCCGTGGCCCTGAGCTCCAAAAGGTCCACGAGCAAGCCGTGAGACCCTTATAAGCACTGCTTTTCATCTCCTTGTGACACAGCAGACCAAAGGCTGTGTGACCGTCCCTGTGTCCCACAGCAGGCCGTGGGGCACTCCATCCGGAGCTCCTCTAGAACCCTCCTCATACCTGCTCTTTGCACAGCTGGATTTTCTCACTTACACACTTTCCTCAGGGAGCCTGCCCCCCAACTCCTCTCTCTGAAGGGGGGCCCACCTTAGCTGGTGCTCCCAGCTTAACACCTTGCTTGCTGTCTTCACAGCATTTGCCACAATTTGTCGTTGATTGATTCATCTGTTTAACTCTCTTCATCTGTCTCTTCCAATAAACTACAGCTCCAAAGGGCAGGGGTCATGTCTGTCTTTCTGCCACAGCCCCCCTCACCCCACCCCTCCAACTAGCACAGTACCTGGTAAACACACAGTATTCCTTTACTGAATAAACTAACAGACTTAATATGGATTGTCCAGCACCTGGGTTACATTCATGGCCAGTGTTCCGGACTTGGTGTTATCATGATAGTGAAACTTCCAAAGAGCCTGCTTTTCCCTGCTATTCTCTGAGGTAAGAGTCAGATACCAAGCCTGGCTGGTGTGGCTCAGTGGATTGAGCACAGGCCTGTAAAGCGGGGGGTTGCCAGTTCGATTCCCCAGTGGGAGCACATGCCCAGGTTGCGGGCCGGGTCCCCAGTGGGGGACACATGAGAGGCAACCACATATTGGTGTTTCTCTCCCATTCTTTCTCCTTCCCTTCACCTCTCTCTAAACATAAATAAATAAAAATATTTTTAAAAAAGACTCAGATAACAGTTGGCAAAATGGCTGTAATGCAGATCAGATTCCAAATGAACATGTGGCAAAAATTAGAGGCCGATGTGATGTCCCCACTCAGGCTCCTCTGTGTTTGGCAAGGGGATCAATGCACCCGGAGAAATGAGGCAACGGTGTCGAGCAAGTGGAGAGCAGAGGCCGGCTGCACCCTGTGTGAGGTGAAAAGCATTAAGAAGCAAGCCACTCTGTGCCGGTCCACCAAACAGGTTGATGTTCCCGATCCTTGGCAATCAGAGACCTCATTTTGCCTGGCAGGCAGAAAGGCAGGTCTCCGGCAAGGGGACATAACCAGCAGGCACCTGGAGCCGAGCTCCTGGCAGCAGCCGGGAGCTGCTGTCATTTCCTGTGGGTTGGCAAGCTTGAATGGCATTGCTAATCCGGGAAAGCTGGGCACAGATGTAAACCCCGTGCCACCACTGCTTACCTTCCTGGGGCTGGAGGTTATGACCCCCTGCCCCTCCCCCGCCTCCACCCACCACGGGAATCTGAAGGTTTCTGCAGAGATCTGACTCCTCAAAACTTTGGGGAAAGAGGAGTATGTACATCTTATAATTTATACACATTTTTCATCTAATTTTGACATGCTATTTCCTTAAGGGATTTTAATATAAATAAAGCCCCTGTACAAACTGAACTTCCCCTACAGGTGACCCATAAAAATCCCCCTGGGTAGTCATTCACTCCTCCTCCCTCTCTGCTTTCCCTGCTTAATAACCGCCTGCTAATTTCTCAGGGAGCAAGTGTTCCCACAGCCCCACTGTCTGGGGCATAGATTTTTCTTTCTAATCTGAATGCCTGCAGGCTTCGCGGTGAGCAAGAGCCCCACCTGCAGATGATGGAAAAGTTTAAAACCCCATTACCAAAGTGCTCCAGATGTACCAAATTGGAAGCTCGCGCTATCAGTATTCAAACAAAGCAAAAAGCCTTCTGTGGCCTCATCTCCCCTGCTCCAGGACCATTACCCCTGCCCCAGCAGCCATGGCAACAGGAAAGCATTTGGGAGAGTGCACCGCGGCAGAGCATTAGACCAGGAGGGAGACCAATTACTGCTGGTCCTCGGCAGTCAGGCCCTGCCCGCTCCACTCCACCTGGCCTAGATCTCTTCATTAATAGCCACCTACTCCCTGGCAACCAGGAGGCAAATGTAGCTTTTACACAGCCCCTCACCTACACTTGCTTCCATTTTCCCTCTCACGGCTCTTCCGTTTCACAACCTTCTCCCCACTTTGTCCTCCCCTTTCAGTTCCTACATTACACCCCCTTGGCTCCGCAATGCCCCCCTTCCAGCTACTCTGTGCACTGGCTGGTGGGATTGCTGGGGGCTGGGTGGGGGGGCGGAGAGCCCAGCAGGAGCCTGGCTTGTTTATTTTGTTTCCATGCTGAACAGTGAGCAGTGAGCGAAGAGACAGTCTCTTTTGGGAAATTTCCTGAGCAGGGCCAAGCGTCATTTAGCCACTGCCCGTGTGAAGTGATGGTTTACCACCAGCTGTCTCTGCAGCTTTCAGAGAGAAACAGCACCCCAAGACCTATAATAAATGTAAAATAATGACAACTGCAAATCCCCTGCCTGGGGCTGTAGGAAGAATGACAATAGACCATCAAGTCACTACACAGCGCTTTGCTTTTCTAGGACTTGAACCAGACAGACCCAGAGAAAAAACTAATTCCCTAATGGGTGAAGTGTGCTTCCTAAAAATGTGGGCCAACTCCTCCCCAGCCGTCAAATTTAAAGACTTTTTCCTGGTGTAGAAGAATGTACCAGACTCTATTCACATGCGGAATGAAACCATATCTGGGTACCCCCAACTCTAAGACATCATGTGTGCCCTCCCCAAAAATGGTTCTTGGGAAATTTTCCCAGCAAAATGCTGACCCAGAAAGGCAGTTTTATTTTTCCTGGGGGTGGGGGGAATGTACTTAAATCAGACTTTGTTAATTTAAATATTCTCCTTGTATTGACTTGCTCATAACATTAAATACGAATGGGTGGAATTCAGCGGGCCATGGTCATTAGCCCTTTAGCATTTGCCTTGCCTAAGAGGTATGAAAGCACTAAGCAGTTAGCCACTTGTAGCTACACTAAAGAAGTAGACAGTAAAAGAGAATATTCAAATACTCTCTTAACCAAAAACTTCTGTGATAAGCAACTACTCTGAAATTCTAAGTCTCCTACACTGTGTTTGCTTCACCGTGAGGCATACTTAAGCTAAAAAGAATGTGCTTATTTGTAGTAAGGATATGTGGAAATTTGTTTTTAATCTCTGAGAATAGGTGTTATTTAACATAGGTTCTAACACTGTTTCATTTACTCAACAAACACTGAGCAGCTAATCTACATGCAGGGCTAGGCACTCTGTTAGGTAATAAGTTAGATTATAATAATAAGTTAACACAGTATGTCAGGGATTGTTTTTTCCTCGGTGATTTCCATAGATGAATTCATTTCATTCTGATAACAGCTCCATGAGGGAGGTTCAGAATTTTCCCGTACTGCGCATGCGGAGGCCGACAGAGCGCTCACAGGACGAGCAAGCATAAAAACCAAGGAGGCAGTGCCGTTCCAGAGTCTGCCCTCGCAGCCTGCACACCTCACTGTTAACAAAATAAATAAGACACGGTCTTGCTTCTCTCAGACCTTAAAGAGAGCATAGCCTAGTAAGAAAGAAAGACCAAAAAAAGCCACGTGGCCAGCTTATGACCCTATCGCTGCTGTGCACACACAGCAAGCGTGACCACAGCCTCCAAGAGCACACAAGAGGTGGCAATTATTTTTGGCCGAAGAGTAGTCCTCAAGGCTTCATAAAATCTTTAGAACTGGGCATTGCAGAGCAGGGCTGCAGTCTGCCGAGCCGAGAAGAACGCGATCCCAGACAGAGGAGAAACAGCGTCAGCCCGGCACAGAGGCACCGTGAAAGCACAGACTGGGCCCAGTAACGGCAAACGCTTGGAGTGTGGGGGCCGTAGAGGGTACATGTGCAGGGCCGGTCTGAGGGTGGGCCGCCTCTCCCTTGGGATGGCTTCTGAACTTCGAGATTCTCATGATGATTTTCATTGAAAAATCTCTTTCTGGATTTAGAGCCTAAGAGCATGACTGTTCAACTGAACACCCCCAAGTTCCTCCCAACCCCAAAACAGCTGTGGGCTGATCTATGGTTTGGGCAGGAAATTCTCATTTTCACTACTTCAAAAAAATGGTGTCCAGGCAGCTCCATTTGCCTTTTGTTTTTCTTTAGCTCACAAAGCAGCTCCCACGTGATCACTGTTACTAGGTCACCCTGAAATTTCAAGCAGTGGACAAAAGTGTATTTCCCACTTCCTTGGAATCTCTTGTATCAGCCCGTCCTGAAAGGGAGCGCACTGCAGTGCTTCTTCGCAGCTCACGGCTGCTTACCCAGGAGAGAATGGAGAACGGCCCCCCATGTACTAGAGTCCCTGCTGGGAACTCTCTGGGTCTAGGACAGTGAGCAAGGCCTGCAGGCCAAGGGCATGACCTCAAAGACAGAGATGCCCTGTTAACGGGCGGAGGGACATACTCTGTTTGAGTTTCGTTGCACATATGAATATGTATCTTACTGGAGAAATGCTCATCCCTTGAGTGAGTTTTGGAACCACTAAAGGCTTCAACTTAAAAATCTAATTGGAGTCATTTTTCCTGGCACAAGGCCCAAAGTACCCAAGTCTGCTTTGGACCGAGAACGCCCCTAAAACCTGGAATTTGATGCTCCTAGGGTTGGCACTGAATACTCAGAGTGAATCTCTGACCTAGGGAATTCTCTATGAGATTCGTTTTTTAATGAGATTAATGGTGGTAACCTTTACCAGTTAAGACTTTACTTAAGAAACTTAGCATCGCTTGAATGGGGATAAAAACACTACTTTACCCAGGCCTTTTCAAGATCAAACTGGGATGTGGCATGGGAAGGAAACAGCATCTGCGACAGAAATAGAGATGGCAGAATCCCCTTCTGTGGAATGACCCCAAGGTCTCCGCCCTCCCATCCCTGACCCCAGTCTGTCCTGCCCCCAGTGAGACCCACTGCTTCACCGACCTCACCCTCTCCTCCAATGGCAGGGGCATGCTACACTGACCTATTGGTCAAGGTCATACGGGGTCCTCATCTGGATTTGGTACAGAGCAGGCAGCTATGTATACTAAATTTCCATTTAGGCTGAAAACATTCTCTTTTTTAAAAAGAAAGAAATATGTCATTTTTTAAACTCTGAAAAATTTCATTGAACTATGTCATTCATGACCTACTATTTTATATAGTCCTTGTGGCTTAACTTAAAACCTCTCAGTTCCTTCTCCTGTGCCACCCCAGCTCCAGGAAGGCATTAGGATAATACTCACATGTCTGGAAAATACTCTGAGATCCTTGGATAGAAGCTTCTGTATAGAAGAAAATAAGAATTTTGTTTTATTGATTGTTCACTGGCACATGAAGCAATTGTCTGGAATTGGGAACATGCAAAATATTTACCTTGTTTAGTTTTTTTTCTTTTGTATCTTATCATAATGAATACCACCGATAAGAGTAGGAGTGCCAATAAAATCAACGGGATCAACACCATTAATATGAACTCTAGCTGATGATCATCTTCATCCAGGAGGGTAGAATCCGTACTTTCAGTGAATGTTTCTGGGGCTGTTGTCGCAGCAATTGTAGTTATAATAGTAGCATCTTTATCTGTACTTCCCACTTCCTCGGGTATATCTGTTGGCTCAACTGTTGGCTCATCTGCTGCACCAGAACTCTCTGTGGGGAACACACACAAAATTGAGGTTGCCATGGAGACAAAGCTAACATGTTCTGTTTTCAATGATTTTTAAATTTATTCAACATGCATCCAGTGATATACTTGATTCACTATATTGGGTCTTCCAGTTCAGTGTGATTCATAGTATTGATTTAACATAAATGGAGCACCGGCTGGGAGTATATTGAACATGGAACCAGAGTCCAAAGATATAAATCTTTCACAAAGGCCAGCAGTTTAGCTTTGACCGATACTTGAGACACATTTAAGCAAAGGCACTGAGAAGTTTTGCCCTGTCATGGGTGATATGCCAAGACCTCTCCTCTAGGGTATCACGGTTCAATAACATTTCTAAGTAAATCTAAATTTACATGTACTGAAAGGTAAACGCTGACCACATACCACTTTTAGGTAGAAAGCAACGCACTATGCCCTGATTTTTAATAAAAGGTACCCCTATCCATGGAAAAGAATTCTTTGAAATTGGGGTGACTGCTTAGATTTCAGGGTCAGGTCTCAGGTTCTGCAGGGAAGTGAGTCTGCCTCTGAGATTATCTGGCAGAAATCCTCCAGGATTCTAAGTGAAAATACAATGTGTGTTTCATTTTTTTAAAGGGAAATTCTCAAGGGGAATTTAGAGACTAAAGAAACTGTATCAATATTTACATTTACTTGGTAAAATGCATCTTTAGAACTTTCCCTATTAAAAAGACATAAGCAAGTTAATTCTTTTTGAAGTTGAGATTGTGTTGGAAAACCATCACGGGACAGGCAAGGACTGTGATTCAAACAGTCTTTCTTCACCTGGCTGTGTAGAGACCATGGTAAGGTGGGCTGGAGGTTTTCATCCTATCACAGTATAATGTTTTCTATCATCAAATGGGGCCCATTGAGGAAACTAGAACGTAAGTTTAGGCTACAGAAAGCCTATCTAATGAGATCATTTATGTGAAAGTTCTTTGCAAGGTGACAGGTGCTACGAGAATGGAAAAGCTGGCTGTTTCACACGATGCCCTGTTCCCACAGGTAGGCCACTGGCCACAGGATGTCCACGCTGGTCACTGCACAGCCAATTCAGTGCCTCACCTAGATGTGCAACTGTGTGACAACGGTGTCCTCTGACTTATGACAATGTTTGCTTGACCCTGGTCTAATTATTTTGGTTATACAGATAAACACTTCAGTTTCCTCCAAGACCAGGGAATGCACTTGATAATGACATGGGTAAATGCCAGCCCAAACCGTCAGAATCAGTCACAAACTGCAGAGTGTAGCACACTGGTGTTCCTCACCCGTGTGTACCAAAAGCAGGATTTAAAAAAAACTACCACGTGTTGACCTCTGCCTTCTGGGTTAGGTGACTTTGCCCTATATTTATGTCTTTGAAACAACATAAGCCAACATCATATTCACTAATGTTAAAAGCTTTTATAGATCACATATTATCCTGGATCAGGAAAGACATGTGTCCACCAGGACAGTGTCCTCATTAAAGTCACCCAGCTTGCAGAACTACTAGAACCAAACAGCATTCTTTTTTTTTCCTCAATAATTTTATTTAGTTATTTTTCAAGTACAGTTTTTTGCCTATTTCTCCCATCCCAGCCCCCCCCACCCCGTGCTCCCCACCTCCCTCCCATTTCCACACCCCCCCCAGTTCTCATCCCTGTGTCTTTCATATTTGCTTCTCCAAATCCTCCCCTTTTTCCCCCTTAAATTCCCTTCCCTCTCCCCTCTGGTCACTGTCCCCTTGTTCTCTATTTCAGTGTCTTTATTTTTATTCTGCTTGCTTGTTCGTTTTGTTGTTTAGCTTCCTGTTAAAGGTGAGATAATATGGTATTTGTCTTTCAACACCTGGCCCATTTCACTCAGCATAATGCTTTCCAGTTCCATCCATGTTGTTGCAAAAGGTAGGAACTCCTTCTTTCTCTCTGCTGCAAACAGCATTCTTTACTGAAAGCCCAGGCCACCAAAGATCAGATTTACAAGGGGGGTGGGGAGGGGGCAGGAGGGAGGGACGCAGACACAAGTGCAATTGGTGGTAATGACCCTTTGCTTACTTCTGCTACTGCTATAGCTGCAGCCACCTTTTTCAAGCTAACCTCTACAGAGAATTTACCAAGAGCCCAGGCCTGTGCTCTGCCTTATACCTGGATTAACTCATTTCATCCTCCCATTTTTTTCAGACAGAAACTGGAGTGAAGGGGTCATACGACTTGCCCGTGATCACAGAGTTATTGTGGAGGAGTGAGGGTTTGACCCCAGGAGGGCTGATCTCGGAACCTGGAATGTAATCATTATAAATCATGAGGAGAACAAGAGAGGGGACCTCATATTCTTGCCCATCAACTTATAAGGAGGTAGCTTTTTGGCCGAAAGGGGAAGGGAGGGGAACATTTTCCCAGAAAGCTTGGCTTTGCCGGGGCTCTTGTTAAGCATTTCAGCCCACACAGCCGTGAACAAAGCAGCCGGACGCAGGGGCCCCTCCGTGCCTCTCCAGGGAAAGCCTTCAAATTCCCAGAAGAACACTTAGCACTCAGAGTCACCACTTGACCCATGGCCCCAGAAGAAAAGAAAGTAGGAAAGGAAATAAGTTAGCAAGGATAATGAGGGCTTATTCTAAGTAGGGGACGGAGGGAAAATGAAAGGAAGTGCACGAAATGTGCATTTGCGTGCGTTTGTTTTTCAGCATAAGAGACAAGGCTGGTCACAGTGGCCCTCAGTGGCTTTCTGAGTAAAGGGGACTGGAAATTGTGTCTACAATATCTCTCTCACACATGTTTTCCATGTAAAACATCATTTATTCAGAGCTCTCCTTGCCCCGACCAACTCCAACAATAGCCTCAAAATAAGAAACAGAGGCATGCATCGGAGGCGTGGTATGAGCTAGGCACTGGGTTAAACGTGCACTGCCTAATTTAATCTTCACAACTTTCTTGCTCCCATTTTACAGATGCAGAAACTGGGTCTCAAATGTTTCACCCTGGGGTATAACCCTGTCATCCACAGTGTGAGTTCCACTGGCACACAGCGTTTCGAAGCCGAGTTCCCTCGAGCGTAGGTGCTGAGTGACAGTGAGGGGTCTGGTCACAGCTCTGGCACTCGGTGGTTGTGGGGATTTAGACAAAGTATTTACCCCTGAATGGCTTAGTGGTCTGATCTGCACAACAGGAGTGACCCCCAAGCTCTCGTCTATTTCCACAGCTTCGTGTGGATTCCAAAGCCTAGATCTTCTCTTTTACTGGAACTGTGCAAGGAGCACTATACACGCGGTACGGAGCTCGGCAAGGCAGTTCCACCGCTGCCCTTTCCCATCACTCGCCCTCCCCGGAGACAAACACCATTTCTGCTGCCTTCCAGAGAAACTCCACGCACCCGCAAGTACCTTTTCCTGTTTTCTTTTATTAACACACAAATAGCAGCAAAAAAGGTTAAATACTGCTCTTCCTTTTGCTCTTTTCATTTAAAGTTTGACTCAAAGAGTCTTCCGTGTCTGCAGGCCGAAAGCTGCCTTCCTCCTGTTACTTGGAAGTATCATAACCTATTCCTATTAATGGAGACGCAGGTCACCTCTTCTGTATTTCCAGTGATGCTGCACCAAACACCCCGGTACATCCTTTTGTTTACTCGTGTGCCAGTGTCTTCTGTGGTGCCTCTCAACAGTGGGGGCAGGGGAGGGGTGTTGGGTGCAGGGGAAGGGGCACAGCACCAAACTACTCTTGGTGGTCTGCCCTCACAGCTTCTCCAAACAGCTCTGTCTCAGTCCTCACACAATGAGAATCGGCAGAGACGAAGCAGGGGAGGGCTGGGTATGCAGGGAGTCTGTGATGGGAGAAGAGGGGGAAGTGGCAAACACTGGGGATCGGCCCCAAGAATTTGTGCCAGGAGCATCAAATGTCTTCAAAGGGGAGCTGGAACACCTGGTGGGCCACAGAATCAAATCAGTAACTAGCAGTAAGGACCAAGGGCACAGGGGTGAGAGTTAGGAAGACAACCGGAGGTAGACAAAACCAAGGGGGAAACAAGAGGAGCCAGAGTGCCAAGAGCAGGGGTGGAAGTGGAGGTGACAGTGAGCAGCTGAGCGACTCTGCAGGAAGCATTACCAGTTCCTCCCATGGCCTGTGGGTAACAGCAACTCTTAACCCAAAGGACATGGAGCCCCTAACACTGTGCAGCCTCAGACACAAGGAGGGACCCAGCCTGTTCAGGAAACACTCACTAAGGCCCATAATAGTCAACAGTGATTTCCTGTAGGAGCCATCCTATGCTTCTCGGGTGGAAGCGACATTGACAACCTTAGAAGTCCAGCCCTGCCACGGAGGAACCCAGACTCTCTTGCAGGTAACGAGGTGGAGCATGGCTCCTGTGGGGGGTGTAGAGTGATTCCTGTGTTGTGGTTGGGCCTCTTGGACATCTCCATGTTGTGGTGGAGACAAGGGTTTGGATTCAGAAGAGTGGGGCTGGGGACTTGGAGCCGCCCTTTCTAACCAGGGTACCTGGGCAGAGCCCTCACTCCTCCAGCCCTTCCTTTCCTAAAGGCCAAGAAGGGGGGCCCGCTGCTCTGCCTACCCCAAGGTGTTTGTATGAAGAGCAAAGGAAATACCAAATGTGAAAATGCCGTATAACCCACAAAGCACCACGCGTGTGCCAGGCATTGGTGGCTGGGCCCTTTCCGCCCTCCTCCAACCCCTTGTCTGTTCCCCACCTCTAGACCTAGCTGTTTCTCTGCTGTTTCCCAGGAGACTAAGCTTCCTGATGTAACTTCTTCATTGCATTGCTGTATCTTCTTATCTAAATTTGGATATAGTTCAGGGTAAAAGGGGTGGGGCCCCAGGGGGTAAAAACAGAAGAAGCTGCAGAAGATAAAGATGAAGAAGATCACACCAGAGAGTAGAGAGAGGGGTGTAGGCAAGCAGAGTACAGATGAAAAGAAAGAACGAGGGCACTGTGCTAAAGCAGAAGGGCTGTGAGAGGGTCGGCCTGGTGTGGCTGGCGACCC